ATTTATACGGCCAGAAGGGAGTGCTACTGCAGTGTTTGCTTATTAAAGTTTGCTTCAGAATTACGTGATTGATGAACACATGTGATGTGGAAGTGCATTAGTATGTTGCTTACGTCATGATAACCATCAAGTTAGGGGGCAGTATTCAGTATATCGTTAGTTTAGACAGAGCCTTATGTGGGTTCAGACACAGCATAAGTAATTTACATTTGGAAACAGCTGAGTTGAAGGCACACTAGGTGGAGTTTCGTTGTCATAATAAGGCTATTGTATTAAATTACACTAGCTATTTTGTCCAACCTATTAGCTGTGCCCTAACACTTACATAAATATAGACTATTACTACAGGAATACTCATGTGAGAAATAAATGATGTTTGAAAAGTTATGTAACCATTGTTGGGGACTTCCAGCTCCAGAGTAAATGGGAAAGTTCTGTTCCCGAGCAGAGCCCTCTTTAAAGATTCATATTGCTTTTGCAGAGAATGGTTATCACAAAATGTGGTGAAAGGAGTGACAGTGTTACATTACCCGATAAAGTCCCCCAACTCTGTACTTTTCACCTCACACTCAAAAATACCTCCAGTTTTTGGGTAATCTCTCATGCATGAGGGAACAGGCACCATTTAAATCACAGCAGCTGTCCTGCACATTGTACTACAACCAGCTGAAGGAATGCCCACTTATCTCGCTTGTATATAACTGTAGTCAATTTACAGGAATGCCTACTTGCTGTTCAATATTTATGGTTTGGAAAAATGCAGGAAAATTAGGCCTGAATGTGGAGGAGGCAGGGAGGGAACCATTCAAAATGCATGAGTGCACACATGCAGGCACTGGCGATTGTGACTTGGTACTGCAGCTCTGGGAGCAAAGAGGGAAGGCTGAGTCACCACGACGGAAAGTGTGGGAAAATAGGAAAGTGACCATCGTGATTAAATCAGACATTTCTTCTCCCTGTGTAACTACAAGTTAAGATCTGTGGTGGTGGAATCTAATTTTAAATCTGTGGGCAAGTGACGGAGGATGAGTTTGAAAATACAATGAACTTATCACCTTGCATGGGTGCCCTTTTTCTTCATAAAGTTAACATGTACTAAGTTTTTCTTTCCTACAATTTCCTTCAAATTACCACTCAAAAGCCTCAATAATATGTTTGAAACCTAAGGTGAGAAAGATGTTGATGATGATTTTCACACACACTGCAGTGATTTTGTTTTTAAATCTATGTTAGCGCTGATGCTTGCCAGTGAAATATCTGATCAGTATGATAATATAGCGAGTCTCCTTGGTGTGCTCGTATTATCATAGATATTAAAAAGTGGAGCACAGGCACTCAGGTCAGTGTGGACTGTAATCTGTTCTTCCCCTATGTCAGTAATCACTTCCAAAATTTTTAATCAGAAAACTGAAAGTAGACGGTGAATACTTTATTTCCTATATGTAATATGGTCATGCTCTGTTCATTTTCATGGACAAGGTCCATTTGATTTAGTATCAAATCAGTGCACAACTCATTAAGCAATCTTTAAACTATGAAGGTCCATGTGTGGAGTTTTGTTATTTCAGTCTGAAGAGCTAAAGATCTAAATGTAGACTTAAAACACATGCAATGAAAAGAGATAGCTGACTTCTCGCAGTCTACTTCAAACTTGTTCATACTGCTAAAGAAAAACTTGAATCACAGGACTTATTGTGATTGTATTAGCCGTTGCCTTTGAGTCATCAGTTGAAATGAAACAGGGATTTCAGGGATTGTGTTGTGAAAAGACCGTAGGGTCCATCAGGCACTTAAAAGTACCGGTAGTCCTCATCGCAGCGGCCGTGGGTTCCAGTCTGGCCTCGGCCCTTTGCTGCATGTCATCCCTCACTCTCTCCTCTGAACTTTTCCTGTCTGTCTTCAGCTGTCCTATCCAATAAAGGCTGAAAGGCCCAAGAAATAACTTTAAAAAAAAGTGACACTCCCCATGTCCTATTGTCAATAGAGTGTATCTAAACAATACCAGATATGTATGTAAAAACACACAACAGCTTAGACCTTTTTCTAGGTTTTAAGAACACTACGATATAAAACACATTTTTTTTCTTATCTTAATTTTGGACCCCAACATTTGAACCAAACATTTTCTGGTTGTCAAGTCTTTGAGACTTTAGGCTTGCTTACTCTGAGAAGATTAAACTCTCCTTCAGCAAGCAACAACGTCAGTATCTTCTCTGTGATGGTAATTGAACCAAATAAAGATTAAATCAAGTTCAGACTGTGGCAGTGTTTTTTATGTTCCCAGTTATTTTTTTACTGAGCATAGTATCAAAGACAAAAACAACAACTGTTTTTTTCTTTTAGTATCAGACTAGAAAACAATATATTTAATATTCATATTTTAAATCATAAAGTTGAATATTTGAAAAAATGAAGAATGGACTTGAATGTACCTCAGTTCATTTGGATAAAGAGCATCGTTCACCAAAGGGATAAAAAAACATTTCAATGAATGAATGAATACATTACCTGCTAACCCTTAGAAGCACAATAGTGCCACCATGTTTGTTTTTCTGTCCAGCTCACTTGAGATTTTACAGCTCAACAACCCTCCATACATACAGATAGTACTTGGAAAGGCAGTTACTTTTTTATGTGATTTAATGAGACATGCACAACAGTTATGACTTAATACCTGCAGAACCATAAGAGCCTTGGATGATAATATTTCAAACCTAAACTTTATTTTTCCTTGGCATCAGAATTATTGTTTGACATTGTCTAGCTGTTCACAAGATTTGAAGCGGAAGAGTAATAAGTACAAACACCAGACGCTTCTTAGAGAGTGACCTGTGCTGGTTTCGTCTGATAGACGACTTCATGAACAAGCTGGCCTCTCAGAGAAGACAAACCTGAATGGGGACGTTTAAGTGCCTGGTTGTGTTATAGTTTCTTAAGTTGAAAGAAGAGTACACTTGAGCTGGAGGAATGTAAGAGGAGGAAAGCAGTTAATCCAAATGTTTATCCGCTGTCACCTGTGACAGGACAATGACTTAGTGTGCGAATGTGTGTCTGTGTGGTTGGGTGTGAGATAATACTTTCTTAAGAAGCAGCTTCCAACTCTGCCGAGCATGTCCCTGGAACACAAAAGCCTTTTCAACCTGTCAAAATAGAACTACGAATCTGTCCCGGCCTCTGTCTGACATGTATGATTGATTGAAATGTATGTTTCTGAGAGATATGCTCTCAGAATGGCCTCCATATTGTCCCATTAACCTTACAGCGTGTATCTTGGCTTAAAGGAAAGTGAATCTTGGCATGTAGATGAGACTGAGCTGAGGCCAAATGGGAAATAAACGTGGCTTGCAGGTAATGACATGTATTATCTTCACACCTGGAAAGGTAACAGAAATATGCTGCAAACATTATTATGCTAATTGACACAGTTTCCACGACAGACTTATTGAATTTTATACATGATTGATAGGCAGTGTGTTGCAGAAAAAAAAGACACAAGAGTGAGTGAAAACACTCTGCAGTGTTTGTGAGCTTCTGCTCGTGTTGACATGATTGTAATATTTGTATCTGACACGCATCTTAAATAGGATTCGCTGCCTGCCAATGCTGATTTCAAACGCAAGCAGGAAGATCATGCCAAGGAGGTGGGTGTCACCCGTCGCTCCCCTCAAAGTTGGGAGCTCGGCGTGCATCACAGTGTTCTGCACATTCAATTTCCTGTGTTTAAATCTGACATGCAGGTTTTGTTTTCTTTTTCCCTTTACCAAACTGAATATGATAATGTCACTTGGGAATTGCTAGATGAAAAGATTTCCATGGTGCCGTCAGCTTTTTTTTTTTTTCCGCTGAGGAGATGAATTGAACAGTAGAGGCTCGGGTTTTGGAACCAGTACAGCATGCATTATAATGAAATCATCTTCTTTTTTCAGTGCAGAGAAGCTAGGCTTTGAAAATGGAGTTTGCAAACCAAATTGGATTAGCAATGGTGGATATTTTGTTAGGTATCTCTCCAATTTCACAGTGTGTGTTCGTCTGAAAGTGTATGTGGGTGTGCATGTGTGTGAACCTGCCTGAATGCTGTTGGATTCTTCACTTTGTAGCTATCAATTTTAATGTTGGATCAGAGCGCTTGTCTTCAAAACAAACACACGATTCTTCTTTATGTGTTAAGTTCTTTGTTTGACCCTTAAGCTGTAGAAAAAGCTCAACTTTCACTTGTTGTTGAAGCTCAACGGTTATAGCTGTCAGAAATATTTCTACTCTCAAAGTTCTGGTGGACTTCACAGCTATGGTACTAAAGTGATACATCTTATGCTATGCTGAAAACAGTTTCATCAGGTAAAGCTGACACAATCCAGTCTGTCTTCACATTTGGACAATGTGTGTGCGAAAGCTGGGACGGTACAATTACCAAATACGGGTTACATTACATTGTTTTGAGAGCCATGACACAGATTTAAAGCCATTGGTAGACATTTAAAAAAGTTGGAAAAATTAATGAAATCCTGAGGATCCTCTCTTTGGGTTTACACATCAATACAACAAATATGTATTGTACGTGTAAAAGTGAGCTAACTGTGTGTCCCTGCAGCCCACTTGTAGAAGGAACATCTGCAGTGACAAATAATAGACTGTACAAATGACCTAGATGTAGCCAACGTTATGTAACTAAATGGTTTTTGAACCACCATTTTTCATCCTTGCATTAGTATTTGGCTGCTGCCATCTTTGTTTTTTATGAGCAAAATTGACTATATTTGGACAACAGGTTTTGAAGAAGACTTGAAGATTGCAATTAAGACCATGAACTTAAAAAGAAATGTTTTCTGAGGTAAAACATTGACTGAAAAGCATGTTGGTTTTCTCAAAGACTTTTACACAATATGATTACAGAGAGTGAAGGTTGTGCAACTTCTGATTGGCTTCACCTTCAAGAGGTACATCCACCTTTTATTTAAAGTCAATGACACACATGTAACCGTGGTTCTACATTTTCTTCACAGCTTTGAAAAAGGGGCGATTCTGGATAACGCCTGACCCGTACCACAATGATGACAACATCCAGATTGGGCGTGAGGTCAAGATCTCCTGCCAGGTAAAGACAAAGAAAAGCACTCACAATTTAATATCTGCATACAAAAACAGTAAAGCATAATGTGACTCATAAATGAAGCATAAATAACACCCCGCTGAATGTCCCAGGTCGAGGCAACACCACCAGAGGAGCTGACGTTCAGCTGGCTGAAGAACGGCCGTGCCCTGCGGAGCTCCGAGCGAATGGTCATCACCCAGACGGACCCTGACATCTCCCCCGGCACCACCAACCTGGACATCATAGATCTCAAGTTCACCGACTTCGGGACGTACACCTGCGTGGCGGCGCTGAAGGGCGGAGGGATCCCGGAGATCAGCATTGACGTCAACATCTCGTCCACAACTGGTGAGCCTCACACCCCTTTGTGTAAGAGACGCATCTACGCACCTCCCCCAACAAACTCACCCGCGGGCATCGACATCTTATTCCTATTTTAGTCACTTGTGGTCATGCTTAAAATATCATGAGAGGGACTGCATCTTGATAAAGCAAAGGAAAAATATGTGTCAGGATTTCTTGGACTGTTGGAAAGGGAAATGTTTTAACAATCTGTACAGCTGCTGAAATAACAAAAGTTTAGCTTGGTTTTTCGGGGCGTGAAGACGTTTTTATGTTTGAACTAAAATTGAAAAGGGTTTAAAACCGATCTTTTATAGAGTTGAGATTGTAATTTTAACAATAATATTAAATAGGGCTCATTTGTTATACTTTTAAATCTCTTAAATCGTCCGTTCACCCAGATCTTAAAAAAGTGAACAATGAAGATACTTATTCATTTAAGCTCTCCAAGGTTTGCACACATCTGGCAGTCTGGCAATGACAATTCTGCATCCCAGCACAACAGAAGTGAAATGAGTTTTTAATATTCATGTTTTGTTTGTGTGAAAAGTCTGCCTCTGCATTGGCCTGTCAGAAGTTGATTTTTTTCAAGGGAAAAGTCACAGTAGTGACGAGTGACACAGTAGACTCTTCTCTCTGTTTTTGTCAGTCCTTTCTTTCACAATCAAAACTCTTTCAGTGCCATGCTCTTCTCAAGTGTAAAGGTCTTTAAAACCCCAAAATTCAACACTCACTGTATGCAAAGAAAATCTTTCTACAGATTTATCAGTCAGTCTGATCTGGGTAAACCGACCCTTTAAGTACTGGACCTCCTTTACACGATAAGATCAAGCTTCTATATCTTAATAGTGCTCACTCTCTGACTCATCTGCCCCAGAATTTATAAGGTTCAAGAATCACTGTCTTCCATTGGAAAGGGTAGTCACTGCACTAAATGAAATTACAGCACAAACATAACTGCATTGCAACGATTTGTTCAATTGGACTCCTGTGAACCAAAGCCGACTCCATCAGTCCGACTAATCAGATACTAAACATCCATCGTCCTTCCATCTAATTGGCTGCTTCCACCATTGGTCTGACTAACGTTTGCATACAAGTGTACAGCATGTCAATAACACAACGTACCAGTCTACCCTGTCTACTGAGCTGCATCATTGTAGTTTCAATCATGGCATGATGACAAATCCTGTAGTACCGGAGGAATGTTACAGCAGCTGTTTAATGTGTCTTTTAGATACTCCACAGCCCCATTGTTCATCATTTGTATCCAAAAGATGGCAAGACGTAGGTGCTTGAAAATCAGTTCTCCATCTTTAAAAGAATTATGAAAGGACAAATTTGCTGTCAAACGTCAGTTTTTCTGTCTCTTGTTGAAGATTTGAACATCAATCCGCCCTCCTCCTGTCAGATTTTGAGAAGAAAGACGCCTTCACCAGCAACAAAAGAGAGCCTGACTTTTTGAAGATTGCTATGTGGCACATTTAGAACATTTAACAATACATTTTGCACAACTCACTTCCTGCAGGGTCTGTTAAACTTGTGCGGTGCAACTCTTAGAAAGACAAAGGCAGAGCTCTTCTCTTCTTTATGTTTAATCTTTGGTTTTAGCTTTTATAACCACAACTGTTTTTTTTTGGGCCGAATTAACTTCAAGCCTCAGCGACGCTCACGGTCAGGAGACTTCTGATTTCCAGATGGGGGTTCCCATGAGTTTGTGCTAACTCTGGTATAGGATATATTTACTATTTCTTACAGTTTACTTGCTGGTGTTTGGTACCGATAACGACTTTTTGGAACTTGTGATTGGGTTGAGAGCAGACTCCCCCTTTATTGCGCACACATCACCAGGCAAATTTGCACATTCTAGCACCTTTGTCTCCTTACAGTCTTGTTTTTCTATCGCACACACACCTTGCTGCCACTCACAGTGTGAACATGAAAGCAGCGCGTCGACCTTGGGTGCATAATTATTGTTAGATAATCCTTTGATAATCCCAGCGCTATAAAACAGTGGGATCAATCGCACCTGCCAAGATTGTTTCCTCATTATCTTTTAAGTAGTGCAGTCTCTTCTTTTGGAGTGCCGGGGTGATGCCAATGCATTATTACAGACCCTCTAATGTGCGGGGAAAAAAAATAATCTGACTGAGGAAATAAGCGATAAAATGACTGACTCTTTTGTGAACATATGAAATGAAAGGTTTCCTCAAGGCTCAGATGTGATTGCTTTTAAAGCCCTCATTGTTCCAGTCAGATGGGCGGGTATGGAATATTATGAAAGTGTTGTCAAAGAGCTGATCCTGTCATTGGACATAATATATTGAATTTTGCTTTTGCCTGTTACAATTCTTGCCGCTTTACCTGGATGTGACTGGGCTGTTTTTTTTTCTTTTCTTCGCTGTGTGTGGAGTTCTCTCTGTCTGATTTATGCCACAAATCAAAAAAGCGTCTTCGCTGAGCTGCACCTTATAGCGTCTGTGCACTGAAGCGCTCTGTGACTCTGCCTTGCCGTACGCCTGCAGCCTGTTTTGGGTTGAATAAGCCCTGTTTTTGTTCCTCTGCCTGTTCTCTTGAAAAGAGAAAGCCCAGGCTGCAATTAGATTCCTTAATAAAAGCATTTAGGGGAGATTATGCTGCAAGTCTGCCAGGGTTTGGTGCTGGGTAAGAGGTTGGAAAGCGATTGAGTCTGAAAGTGTCTCTAGCCTGAACACTTTGGAGCTCGCTTGCTGTGTTGAGGATTGGCTCCGGATCCAAATTCCAAACCTGACATTAGCTCCATCCTGCGGCACATCTCTATAAAACAGAATATTTATCATCTTCCATTCTTTTAACTTTTGATGTGCACAGATTTCAACAGCTCCCATATCTCACTTTTGGAAAAAAAAACTGCACTAATAATTACTATCATGACACTCTTATTAAATAAGCAACATCTTTACTTGTCCCAGAGATTTATTTATGAGTGCATGGTCAGGAAACGAGGACAGACTTCCCCCTTTGGATACTGTCAGATTTAAAAACCCACATGACACAGGAAAAAGAGTTACGAGCATTGGTGGAGAACCTCCCCTCAACTTCTATCGGGAACTTGCTTGTTAATCCTCTGATTAGTCCGTCTGTTGTGGGTGTGTCTTACTGGATTATTGTCTAATTATTGACCTTCTATGGCTGTGGCGCTGAAATGTTGTATGACTTCTGATTGCTACCACCTCTGGGAGCTTCTCAGAGATAAAATTTTAATAGCATGGGGAGTTATTACAGATGGCGTCTTGACATTTAAAGCCAGTCTTCGTCTCTGAGCTGATACCCGCTTAATGCACTCGCCACTTTATAATTACTATAAACATGGGATTCTAGCGACTTCGGCGTCTTATAAAAAGGCGAGAAAAGTCTCTGTTGATACTTTGTAGCAACGGCACAAGACAGAAGCTCCTCTGCAGCCTGATTGATGATCACAAAGTATTAAGGTTGAAAGTCACCTCTCTCTTTTAGTGAGGGAGATAAATCCTTCCTTGATGAGTCGCTCAATTAGCATCCTGCTCACACCTGAAACTCTGGCACCACCCAGTGTTTCTGTCAATCTCGGGAATCACTGCAGTTAATGAATTAAGCAAATCAATTAAGTGCTCAGTTGATTAAAAAATGAGCTGGTTTAATAAACACAATTGAACGAACTCCTCTTTTTTTCCCACAGGAGTTTGAGTCATCTTAAGCTTGCAGCAGACTTTCTTGACTCTGTCGTTCCCCTTCTCAAGTGTCCTGTTGTCTGTTTGACTCTGATTCATCATGAGCTGCCATCATCCCAGTGACACATGTGACTCTTATTTGAACAGCATGACCGCTGGCTGTTGACTGTGTCGATCTGCTTGTTTCAGATACAAATTCAGCGACCCTGATAAAAACAAACCTGGTCTGCATCCTGACTCACCTGCAGGGTGCAAAGGTTCAACTGCTGTTAGCTCTCTGTGGGTGGAAAAAGGATGTTTGTTGCTTTTTTCCCTCCTTGTTTGGACATGTGGAGCTTTCACAGAGTGTGGTGGTTTTTTGATGTTGGTCAGATGTCCATTCTCTTTCATTGCCTTCCTCTGTATGTGTGTTTTGTTTGTACAATAGGAAAGCTTGGGGAACAATGTTGAAAAATATGAAAACATACACTATAAGCATGACCTCATTGCAGCCTGTCTGTGTTTTCTGTATGGAAAATGATTTAAGAATCAATAACCAGCTTTGCATTCTTCATATATGTAGTTATAAACAAAGGCAGATGACTCAATCATGTAGCTTAAAGAACCATTTATCTATAGCCAGGTAATATGGATTCTTCTGAATGGGACCTATATGTTAATCAACTGCAAGCTAGCTAATTAAGAGTTAATAATCTGGAGCTAAAAATATCTCCTTAAACAAAAGCTCCAGTCGACTTTTCCATGTTTAAATTTCACTTGTTTTAGATCAGAGAGGTCAAGTCTGATGTACACTTCAAAATAAGTTGAAAAACAGTAGAGTCTAAAGATAACTCTATAGTAGCCCTGAGTAGTTTAGAACTAAAGAGTTTATCAAGTACTAGGTTATTGTTGTTTCTACCCCAAAATTTGAGCGATAAGTTACAGAACTTCATTTCTTCTAATTAAAAGTACCTTCTCTTCACTTTGTTGTAATTGATGGATACAATCACCCTTTTACACAAGAACTAATTATTCACCAGGAGATAAGAGTGTCATAATGAATCAGATACTTTGGAAAGCCTTCTTGTAGCCAACAGCTGAGTGGCATCTCTGTCCAGTTCAAGCCAGTGCATTCATAGGTCTGCTAGTATATAATTTGTGTTACATGACAGCTGGGTTATTTAACCACTTCAACAACAATGCTGCATGAAAAAAAGTTGGCAGCTGCATACATGCTCTAAGATGAATGCTGTTAAATGATAATCCAAAACAACCTTGATATCAGCTGTCACATATAAAAAGTGTAGAATTTTAGCTTACCGGAAAAAAATATAAAGA